AGGAATGACACCTGCATCTGCTGCATAAAACACTGAGAGGTGCTTAAAGCCTTTTGGAAGTGAGAGTTCCTTGGTCTGGGCCATCACTGTTCTATACGGGGGAAGTCTGTAACAGAAAAAGATTGTCAAGGCCACAAGGCTTTAAGAGCTGAACTTGACTGTTTGACAGCTTCCAAAGGTTCACATGGAACTGCAGAAGCATTTAGTGTTACTTCTGATTAGAGGACTTTCCAACCAGCCAAACAAACCAACATCGTTCTCCTCTGCCAAACGCAGTGGAAGGAGGAAGTTGGTTTAACTAAATCTCAGCTACTGACCTGCTTTCCTTCATTGCCTCCGCTACTCCCCAACTTCCTATCCAGTGCTTACCCACTTTGCATGCTACATATTAACCTCTGGGCCACCAACAGAGCTATCCGCAGCAGGCATTACCTTCTCTTCAGGGAATCAGCTTTGTATCTGGAGACATTTTTGAAAGCTTCCCTGCCTATATGAAATTTGTGCACAGCTCTTTCAATGGCTAAACCTGAGACAGTTTTGAACTTCTGGAGTATAGGTGAAAGTGAAATTCGTGAAATATTTGCGAACTTGCTTCACAGACAGTATTCTTTTGCTTCAAGGGAGTGAAGCATTATTTAGCCAGAGAACTGGAACAGCTTGTTCAAGGTCACAGAATCACAGAATCATAGAACAATTCAGGTTGGAAAAGACCCTTGGGATCATCAAGTCCAACCATTAACCCTACGCTACAAGTTCACCCCTAAACCATATCACCCAACACCCCATCTAAACGACACTTGAACACATCCAGGGATGGCGACTCAACCTCCTACCTAGGCAGTCTATTCCAGTGTCTGACCATTCTTTCTGTGAAGAATTTCTTGCTAATGTCCAGCCTAAACCTGCCCTGTTGCAAATTGCAACCATTCCCCCTGGTTCTGTCCCTAATTACCTGTGAGAAGAGACCAGCACCAACCTCTCTACAATGTCCTAGAAAAAACTAGAAAAACTAGAAACAGAGCTGAGAGCAGAGCTTTAAACACAGTAATGCAAGTACATCATCTAGCAGACAGAGTTCCCAACAAAGACCAGAGACCCACTGTGTTATATGTACACTGCAAAGGAAAGACAAGAAAGGAGAGAGAGACAACACGCTGAGGCAGGGAAATGGAGGCACAGAGGTAAAGCAACCTGGCGATTTGCCTAGCATAATCCTGCAGATCAGCAACAGAAATGGGAATCAAAGACAAGTCAGGCCTCTGACATCCCAATCTAGGTCTTTGTCTCTTGATTTTCACAGTAGCTCCCACCACTCCCTAAACTCAAGTGAACAGAACTCCAGGCCAATTCCTACTGCCTTCCAGCAAGCCTCAGTTACATAGATTAAAAGGTCCCATCAAGGACTCCTCAAGAGACCCAAGGAATGGACAAAACAGACTGCTTTCCTATTCCAGGACCAGACAGAGTCACTGGATGACAGAATCTGAGAATGCCTTACATTTACATAATAAATTCAGAGATGAGATCACTGGAACTCTGATAAGCTTCATTAGCGAATGTGTACAAAAAAGCTTCAGAGCAAACCTCACTGTAGCTACAGAAATCAGTTCTCAGTCTTAACCAGACAGTATCCTTTCATTTCTCTCCCTCTACTATGACTCACTCAGGCACTACACTTGCACTTAATTCCATATATGCTTTGAGGAAACAGTTTATGTAAAAGACAGCATGCAAAATAAGATACATTGCAAATCAATTTTAAGTCAAAAAAGGCTGGGAGAAAGCATCATCAAACCAACAAAGCTTGTATTATAACTCTACCCTTAGGAGCAGAATGGAAAAACGTCAATAATTCTCAGAAAACACGGATTAATAAGACCTACATTCAGTACTGACATCTGCCAATAATCAAACACACCCCACAACCAAATTCAGAAGAAAGAAAATTCAAGCCAATACCATTAATGTGGTTTAGCTTTTAGTCCCAAGTCATGACATCATCCTTCCACAATCTTCTTATGAAAATGTCATCACAACAACAGGATTTAACCACATTCACTGAGGCTGTCTCAGAAGAGTTAAACATTCCATATCAAATATCACTACCTTGTATGCATTAATGCCACAAGCACCATTTTCTCAGGCTACTGTTATGAACACTTCAGTAAGGTAAGTCCGGCACAGCCTGCACACACAGCTTTTCTGTTCCCATTTTTAGACTTCCCCTCCCAAAACCACTCAGAGCGCCAATGACTCCCACCTCCTTAAGAGTAAAGTCAACCTCAGAGAAAGGCATCATAGCGGGTGAAAAATTTCCTTTCTATATGGCTGGCAACCTAACACTGTCAGACCACCACGGGATAAGACACAAGACACAAATCAGTTGGCTAACAGGAGTAAGCTGAGATGTGTGCAAGTGAGATAAAGTGTGGCAAAAAGTGATTTTCTGGTGATCTTTAAACTCATTTCAAGAGCGAACATAACAATGTTTACTCTTGATATAAGAATTTAAAACAAAATTTTAATTGCCACTTACCTGGCTGGCAAACTCTCTCAAGTGAGCCATTCCTAGAGGATGGTCAGACATCCGCTTTTGCAAAATCAGGAAGGGTTAGGGCGTCGTAGCACAGCAGGAAAGCAAAACTTTCTCATCCACTGGTCAACTGTGGCAAATAAGAACACAATAGCTCTAACTTGGGGTTCTCAAGGCCTGGCTCATTCCCCAAAACAGCTACCTGCATCTTTCTTCTCCTCAATTTGCAGCTCTCCTCGAAACTACCAGACCATTCTAAGTATGCCAGCCCCTCCTTTACAAATCCCATTTCTCAATCCTTTACAGACATGCCTTTCAGATGCATCAAGGAACCGCACTTTAATGACGACAAAGCCTCAGACGCTGTTTTCCTCACCATCACCTCAGTGTGCTCCCCAGCCTTACAGTTGCCCCTACAGCACTACCCCCTCATCACCACTTCCAGCATCTTTCCCATAACAGCCCACAACACTGTCCTCAGACATCCTTTTCCTTCTACATCTCCCCAGTAACGTTCTCATGGAGGGCACCCCCCACACTCCCATTCTCCCCAGTACACACACTTACAAAGCTCACCTCCCCAGCGCACCTCTGCCTCCTGTGTGAATCCCAACCCCGCACCATCCCTGGGCACTCCCCCACCAATGCTGCCCAGGTCTGCCCCTAGACCCTGTGCTCCTCAGCAAGCCTCTCCACAGGGCTGCTCTGCACCCCAGCACCAGAAGAGCCCCAACTCAGCACGACCCTCTAGCCCAGTCCCCTCTGGGAACCCACGGCCCTTTCTCAAGGGCCCAGTGCTCCCCAACACAGCACCCTCAGATCCCCACAGTCTCCCTCAAGTCCCCCTGCCA